CGACCAACACGAACTATTCATCCAAAACCTTTTACTATTGATACAAATTTAACATCATTCGTTGGTATTAATATTCTTGATTCAGCTGATTGTTTAAATTCTACTTATACTGTTAATTTAACAAATAAACCAAATGAATGTATAACTTCTACATTTAATAATTTAACATATTGTTCGTCGATATCATTACTATCATATGGTTCAATAGGACCATGTTGTGAAATACTTGGACGAACATTTAATCAATATGGTGGTGGATATGCAATATATGCTGGTACAAGATTTTCTAATCAAGCTCCAGCACGTTTCTCATTTGATTTTATTGTACGATCACCAATAATTGATGGTTTAATTTTATTATATGGAAGAAATTCACGACCAATAAATGATTTTTTTTGGATAGCTATTGAAATTTATCAAAGAAGATTAAGATTTCATTTTCGAAATATAATACCTAATATAACAAAACCTATATTAAATCCATCGACATGGTATCATGTTGAATGCCAGGTTAAATTATTTTCTTGAAAGAATAAATATTATTTTATTTGATTTTCTTTAGTTTGTCGATTCGATGGTTCTTATATCAATTAATGATTGTCAATATGATATACTAATAGTAAATAATACTTTAAATATATATGATCCATCAACTGTTGAATTATATCTTGGTGGTTTACCTATGATTAATTCACTTGTATCAAGTCTTTATCCATCATTAACATCAATAAATACGTTTAATGGTTGTATACGAAATGTTTTATCAAATGGTTATTATCTTGATATGTCTAAAGATTTATTCTCAGCTAATTCAAATTATGGTGAATGTCCATGTTCAATAACAAATTCATGTATTACAAGAAAACAGATTATAGATATTATTATACCTTGGTATATATGGTTAATTATTGCACTTGTTTTATTACTATTAGCAACTATATTAGCAATAACTTTATTGATGCTTATAAGAAAAAGAAAACAATTACAAGTATTACCAGGATTATATACAAATGATACAAAAGATAATATTGTTAATTATAAGTAAGATAAAAATACATTTGAAATTTGTATATGATCCATTTCAAACAAAACGAAACATATTCACTTTTCATTGAACTTTTATTCTTTATAAAGATGATTTTTCTCAATAAGTTGTTTTAGCATAGACATATGAAAAAATGTTCATTCTTTTAGCTGACCTTTTTTCTTACAATTATCTAGAGATTTTGGAGAAGGACTTGTATCGTTTGAATTTAGTTTTGTACTTCTCATTCAGTTATAAAAGAATCTTTTCGTATTCCATCACGTCGCTAACGAAAAGAAAGCCGATTTTTTTTTAATAAATCTAGGCATCCTCAAAAAACACTTTGACTAGAAATTTTGTAGCTTCACAGATCGTCTAGATTTAGTTTTCAAAAAATGCTGCCTTAGTTCAAAGTTTTTTTAATGAAAATGCATGAAGTGAAAGTCTCTCAAGTAATTCAACATACATGTAACATATAAAAATTAGTTCTAGGAAAGTTCATTATTCCGAGATACATGTATTTTTATTTTGCTAAGCCATATCACTGACAAATGCCTGATCAGCAAGCTCTTCACTGAAATGCAGATCGCAGTTATTTGGCAAACTGCATTTCGACAAAGTACCATTTCGGTGATCTTTCTGTTCGATAATCCAAGTTTCAGCGATGAGCATTCCAATCATTCCAATTGAATAATTAATTGATATAAATCTTTATGTGTCTACAATCGATAAGTTTCTAATCAATGCTAATTAATTCTTCTTAATAGAACATTGCTAGTAGATATCTTGATTATAATTTGGAAATTACTTGTTTTTTTTTTGTATTTTAATATTCTTATTAATAGATGAGAATGAGTTTTAACGATATGCTTTTTATTTAATACAAGTTTTTAATTCCTTAGAGAACAGTACAAATGAAGAAAAGAATTCTTTGAATATTAAAAATGTTATTGTGTGCATCGTGCAAAAAACGAGCAATTTCTTGTTCTCGCTTCTTTGTACGTCATTTAATGGAGAATCAGAAGTTCGTCTGAAATACGTTATTTTTAAATCGATTTGCCGATGTTTTAGGGAAAAAAAATACAAAACATTAGGAAAGTGAGAAAAACAGCTAAAAATCGAACTTTCGTCGGAAACTTTTTAAAGTTTTTTTTTTGCTACCTACATAATGAAATTGTTGTTCGACATGGGCCTGTCGAATGGAACTATTTAAATACGTTTTTCTGATATCCATAAACAATTTTGTAAACATTTCTATCTTTTTCGATTAAGAGATAAGACCAAGTGTCAAATCCCCTTAGAATCAAAAGATATTAACCTTCAAGCATATCCTATTATGTCTGTATCTCCTCAGACATAATTATTTGAAAATTTGCACTGTAGTACTCCAGAGAAATGATTTTGGTGGTAACATTTTTCGATTAAAAGATACATGATTCGTTGTAGTTTTTTACGCTTACTTCGAATATTTTATTTGTTTTTTATATCACGAAAAAATAAAGATACAATCAAGTAACTATGTGTATATTTTTCACGGTTTTAGCATATAGTAGGAGAAAATCGAACGAATGCACCTTTTCAACAATCAAACAAAATCTAGAAAAAATAATCAGAATACGTTTGAAGGTCAATATCTAGCGATTTAAATGAGATATTGTACTTGACCCTACCTCTTAGTACAAAAGACTATGCAAGTCTATAAAAAGTAAGTAACAAAAAAAAACTTGAAAATTTCTGACGAAGACTCGTTATTTTAGCTATTTTCAGCCGCTTTTCATACCTTCCTTATCTTTTTTTTCTTAAAACATGAATCAATCGATTTAGAAATAATATATCCCTAATCTACTTTTTATGCTATGTTGAATGGTATTTAATGTAGCAAGAAAAACAGTTTACTCGATTTTCGTATCATGCGCACCTTAAAAAATTTTCCTTTTGTTTTTCATTACAAAACATAGTAGTTTTTAGTGTTTCACATTTTATAGATACATCTTCTTAATAAATGTCTTTTTTTCTAGTGACACTGCTGGCGAAGAAGATCATTCGCGATATAACCTGCGTGTATTAAAAAAACCGATTTATGATTTACGAGATAGTAATATTGTATCCGATAATGGTCCATCAAGTATCAATAATGAAGATAAATGTATCAATAAATAGGATATCTATATTTATTTTTGTTTTAGGTTATAACGATTCAAGGATTTATTATCGACCGTCACTTGGTAGCTATATTACAAAAAAACTTAATGACCAAGTTATATCATATGCAAGAGATACACAATTACATTATCAATATGAAGGTGAAGATTCAATAGCATCAGATTTAAGTTCTATTGAATCTTTATCTTTACAAGATGAAAATGATTCTAGATTTTTTTATTCATTAGGACCAAAATTTTTACGTCTAGCAGATCTATATTCTGATCACGTTCAGAATAATAATAATGATAATACTTAGAGGAAAAAAACAAGCTTGTGTAATTGTTTTTTTTTTCCATTAAGCAGTATATAGATATTAAATAGTTTTCATTTCCTGTAATCTACGAATAACTTGTGTATCTCATATCTTTAAACTTGTATGCATATTTTTATTTGATTTCTATGTTTTTTACAATTATGTTTATATGTGCGCCAAAGAATATAAACCACCACAAAGAAAAAAAAAAGCACAAAACGGAAGAAATGAAGCGCGACCGAAGAAGTTTATCTGATCATGAATTATACGGATATTTAAAAATAAATGGAAAAATATAACTAAAATTTTTATTCTCAAAACTCAAAGGTTGGAATAAGCCTTGATATTCGTTGTTGGACAAATTTATATTCAGGATATGTTCGAAATAAGCGTTCTTCAGTCATTGGAATGCTGCCAAATATCATCATCAATGTAATAAGTAATGGGCCAAGGACACACCACAAGGGTGCATTATAATTATTGCCAAGAAAAAATAAGCCCCACCAAAATATGATTTCACCTAGATAATTCGGATGACGACTATATTTCCAAAGGCCATTTGATAAAACAGCAAATCTATGTTCCCTTGATGTTTGCCTATGACGTCGAAATGCTGTTAATTGTTTATCAGCAATATTTTCTAATAAAACACCGGAAAAAATAATTAACAAAAATAAAATATCCATTTTTGGCAAACTTTCATATATATGTATATTAGTATAGATGTAATATATCGATGATGAACCAATTAATACTTCAAACATTGGTAATAAATATAAAGCAAAAAATGCAAATACTAAAAAATTATTCTTATATTGTTGTCTCATTATTTGATAGCGCCAATCTTCATGTTTAGTATTATTTGATGACAATATTGTTTGCCATATTAAATGAAATGACCATAAAGATATAAGAATAATCAATGGAAGACATTTAAATGATAAAAAATCAATTGGATTTAATGTAAAATTAAAATATAACGAACAAATCAATGGCACTAGAGGCCAATGAAGATCATAAATATTATTCCATGAAAAAATATGATTACCAATAAAAAATAAAATACATGTTATACAAAAGTCAATAACATAAGTACGACATAATGGTGAAGAAATAAATGAAAGTAAAATAAAATGTAAAATGATTGATAATAAAAATAAAATAAAATAAACAATAAAATAAATGACTAAAGTTGATGATGGTAATTTCATATTTCTTCAAAAAAAAACAACATAAAAATTTTAAAAAAAAACAGTTTATATGGTTGTATGTATGTCACAGCATGAAGCTGCTTTTAACTTACACAGTGAAATGAAAAAAAAAGAAAGAATAACGATAACAACAAGAAAACTAAAAAAGGACGGCCGAGAAGAAAGAAAAAAGACATGATTCGTTGTTTCTTTCGTTTATCAATAACGACCATGGTTCACCTTGGCAACGTTTTGTTACAGACACAGCATTAGTGCATTACCATTCAAAAGAAAAAAAAGATTGAAGAATAAAGGAAAAAATTCTATAATGGATTCAGATGATCGACTCGATACTTTTCGTCAATCTAATACCATATCAATGGAACAAACTTTGACAGCACCATTGAATAATACAGTTGATTTTCTTGTAATAATTATCAATAATTAAACTCAATTTATCATTTTTTTTTGTTCTTTTTTTCTTCAGGGACCTGAAAATAACCTTGGTGAAACAACTGTCAGCTTTGAACATATATTAGATGAAACTTCTCGAGAACGTAAGTTATTCATTATTTAATATAATTAAACTTTTTTCTTGTTTCTCTTTCTTCATATAATTATTAGCATTCATTTTATTATAATAACAACAATAAGAACTATCAAGATAAACAAAATGTGAAACATTGCAGCTGTCGAAGCTGAAATTGCCTCTTCATGGCATCGAGACATTATTGAGATAATGCATGCAAATATAGACAGATGTTGCTCTAAACGAATCGAATGCATCTTATAACGTCAAGAAATCTGATTCGAATATTTATATTAACCAAGATAGAATTTCAAAATACAACAAAATCAGAATAACTAAACAAGATTAATAATAAATTATTAGGACATAAAAAACAAAGATTTTTCTAACACATCAACATATAGCAAAAATAGCGTTATGAATATATTATAACAAATTCACCTTTGTTTTTCTTTTTTGATATTGCAATCATTTAATCCATGATATGAAAAAAAAAATTGTATTTTTAGTATTTAAATTCTAATCCTTTTCTTTTTATTTTATTTATATTCTAGTACTTAAATTTGGTTTTAAAAAAGTGGCTAAAAAAAATGATTATATTCGTATAAATGATATCGGTGAAGCACTTCGGCATTCGGGCCAAAATCCAACAGAAGATTTTATTAAAGATCTGATTGACAAAGCTAATGCATTTAAAACATCAATTCATCGTGAGGACGAAGAAGAAGGTTCGTATTATTACATATATATATTCTAAAATTCGTAAAAGTTTCAATAGAACAAAAAGTCATTTAAGTTCCGTTCAATATCTTTTGATATTTTGCTTATATGTGAATTCTATGAACAGTTTATATTTTATTGCAATAATATTTTTATTTATCTTAATATAGAGCAAAAACCGGATGATCATTTATCATTTGCTGATTTTTTGACCATTGTTCATCAACATTGGATACCACTTGAAGATGACAAAAAACAATTACAAGACGCATTTGACATACTTGATCCGCAAAACAAATCAAAATTGATGGTCGATGAATTTGTGTATTTACTGAAAAATTCTGATTGGCCAGAAGAAGAAATTCAATTGCTTTTATCACAAGTCAGCTGTGCTGATGGTTATTTTCTTCATGACGGTAAACAATAATTGTCTATTATTTATTTTTGATATTAATTTCTTGTTTATTTCTATAGATTTACAAAAATTACTTTTAACACCAGTTGAATTGCCGAAGAAGAAATCAGGAAAAACAAAAAAGACAAAATAACTTGGTTTTTTTTGCTTGTATAAATATTCTTGCTAATTTTTTCTATAAATATATATGAATTTATTCATTTTCTTTTACTTCTTCTTCATTATGATATTTTGTGTTTTCTTTTTTTTTGGGGGGGGGGGGGGGGGGGGATATTAATTTTATTGTTTTGTTATTTTTTATTGGGTTTTAATAATTTTTGGCAGCAGACTTTTTTTTTTTTTTTTTTTTTTGGTTCTTTATTTCC